ATAATAAAGTTCAGATATCATTTTAAAAATTGGCATACGTGTTGTGTTTTTTTTAGGGGCGTTGGATAAGACGGAATGTCGGATAAGCGAAGGTCGGTTAAATGAGACTCTACCGTACTTCCCTAACCATATAGCCACCCTCCATGTTTCAACTGCTTTCAACCTGCCTCCCATCCTCCTTTTTTTCTCAACAGAGATCTTAAAATAGTAGTTGATATCAGTTCGGGTTCAACTCTAATACAGTACCAAATTTCTGTCTCCCCTATATCTCTGTAGGCATTTGTTTATCCAATTTCATAATAAAAAGAATTTCATGATAAAAAGAATTACAGAACTTTCTAGCCATTCATTCTGCCACAATAAAAACTTTAAATTCAGCTCTGTAAAATTCAGTATCAAATTTACTAGGACAGACAAGCACATCTACGTATAAATACAATTGTATTTATTGTTTTTATTTAGATATACTACAATTGTAAGTTGTTCATTTTTAAAACTTTTTCTCAAAACACAAGCTGCTTTTGTTTCTGTAGCATAAAGCAAACATCTACGTTCTTTTCCTGAGCATAGAAATACTCAACTATTTTGGCTGCTGGACATCACTATGGAAGTCTTGCTTATTCACAAAATGGCTGACATGGTTTATTACGCAACACCCACTGCTGGTTAGGACAAAAGAGATGGAGGAGGAAGAGGAGGAAGAAAAAACAAACTAAAATACACACAACACACACACACAAGGTCTGAGAGCCATACATGATTCCATACTTCTCAGCTTCAGCATCCAATTCACAGAAGTCAAATGGATAAAATGTAGTCATAAGAAACTTGGCTAAGAACTGAATACAAAGCAGAGGTAGGGACAAAGCCCCAAATGTCAGGGAGCAATAACAATAGTTTGGCAGCAGCATTTGGCAGGAATGTAAGGGGGATGTCCCTACTAAATGCTTCCAGTAAGTAGATAATGTAAGCTAACCAGAGAAACAAAAGCCTTCTTACTGCTGGTGCTTTAAGAAACAGGAATGAAGATGTAGGGACATAACTCAGTTGTGTCTGCAATGTTTGTGGCACACTGGTATTCTTGCTTGAAAACATTCTTGCAAATGTCTGTAGCAAGTGTAAGCTCATAACAGTGTTTGAAGAAACAGCTCAACAGAACTGGAGCAGCAAGGAATCACAATTCAACTCTCAAGAAAGGATGAAAAGTTATCAAATCAAATAGGAGATCTACAATATGAGATGATGTGGAAAGCAACTCTACATAAAGATGATAAATAAAGGGGAAAGGCCAGCAGATGAAAGTGACATCCAGAAGCAAACAATATAGAAGATATTTTGCTCTGCTGGAAATCAGAAAAATATCAAGGGCATTCAGTAGAAAAAAATAAATGAGGCAACCCAGAACAGAACTCAGTATAATAACTAACACTCCATGGCAGGAAAAGCTAATGTAAAAAAAAGCTCAAGATAGATGGGAATTCCTAAAAAACAGAAAAAGCAAAAGCACAAGTTACACCATTCCAATGAGGAAAAAGCAGAGGATGGCAGAACCTACCAATGTGGTTACACAAAGATTAGGTAGGATCTGAAAACAAAAGTGGACATATATTCAAATTGTTAAAAAAGTACAGATAGACAAGGAAGAGTACACAGGTGATCCAGAAATGGTGCAAGAAAGCTAAAGCTTAGAATGAACTGAGGTTTGCAAAAGACTCTAAGAACAAAAAGAAGAAAGAGTTGATATATGTGCATATACCAACACTTTTCTCTCACACATAAGTCACCAAGAAACACTAAACATACAAATACACAGTTTTTGGGAGTAAGACAGTATACAAGTTTAATAAATAATTATTATTACACACCAAAGAGAAGAGAGTAACTGGACAGGGAAGAAAATAAATAGTTAGATATTATATAAGGGGTTAAAATTAACCCACAGAAGGGAGGAGCCCATCTCTCCCAATGTTAACTTTCAAAGGCATCCTCAAAAATATCTGCAACCATCAGTTTGTTTTTGATAGCATCAGATACCCCCCTTTATAAAACTAATCAATTATAAAGAAAAACCTCTCACTGATATAGACGGTGCAGTAATTATGACATGAAGCTGATAAAATCATCCAGATGTTGGTCTCCTGCACTTGAGTACAGATTGCCTCCTGCATCTTAACCAGCATAATCAATTTATACATATTCAACCATTTGTTTGAGTTTTTTCCCGTTACTATTTACTTTTCATGGAAAGAAAGTGGTTCAAATGGATTGGCTTTGTTCCTTTATACCTGTACCAAAAGTAGCAAGCAATAATGCATTTTTCTGAATCTTGTATTGTTTGAAACTAACTTTGTTAATATTACAATGCTGTTTGCATAATTACATAAGCGTCAAAATTATATAGCATATATGAAAACGAATCCTGAATCATTTCTTCAAAATACTAAATATAGCTCAGGTATAGTTGCTCTTACAGAGTTCAATATTTTATTTTCTAATGTTTTAATAGTTATTTCTTGTGGTATTGATCAAATTTGATTTTGATTAATTTGATTTTAAATATAGATTGTACTAGGGCACTTAAAATAGATTTTTATCAGATTTATCTAGAATTAAAATCCTTGAGTACCAAAGAAACCATTCCTTCTCAGAAATCTTATTATTGTACTATGAACTTTCTTACCACTAGATAATCCTAAATGCAATTTTACAGCTCTTCTGAATAACTAATTCTGAAATCACTGATTAAAGGACAAGCACCAACTTTTTTTTTTAAACAGGACTATTAAGCAAGATGAACATCCTGCTTAACATCGACACTCTATTTATTTATTTATTTATTTATTTATTTATATCTGTCAAATTTATACATCCGCCCATCTCACAAACAAGTGACTCTGGGTGGCGTACAAGACTAAAAACAATTACTATATAAAAACAATTATTATTATATTATGTCAAATTTATACATCCGCCCATCTCACAAACAAGTGACTCTGGGTGGCGTACAAGACTAAAAACAATTACTATATAAAAACAATTATTATTATATTATTAAAATCTTTTTAAAAAACTTTAAAAATACAAGGCTAAAAGAGAACAGATATTAGGCTAAAAGCAGATGTTAATAGCAACAGAACCACCTCGGTATTTAAGTATTTTAACACAGGTTAAATACAATGCCAATTTATTAGTATGACTATGCCCCATGATAATCTCACAATGACATTACTCTCCAGCAGGTGCATTATTCTCTAGCATTTTTATTATTTATGTACATATTTATTTATACAATTTTTGTAGCTACCTATCTCATTGGCAATGACTCTGGGTGGCATACAAGGATTGGAACCAACAAGAATAGTCAACAATCCAAGTAACAAATTTCAAGATCACAGAAAAAATTCCAATTACAGAAGACCAATTAACCAGCCGAGCCCAAATGCCAGGGGGGCAGCCACATTGTTAAAGCCTTACAAAAGGCTAACAGGCCCATTCAGATCTTCAGAGATATTCCACTGCAACACAGAAGGCATGACTCCTGGGTCTAGCAAGATGACACTGCTTGATAGAAGAGACCCAGAGTATGCTCTCTCTGTTAATTCTGGTGTGGAAGCAGAGGCAGGCAGTTCTGAAAA